AAGGTAATGGGTCCCGCAACGGTCCTTTCTCAGTGTCTCGGAGCTTTCGGTCTTGATGCACGTCTAAAAATATTGGGGTATTCTACCTATTCGGCGATAATTTACATTGTGTTTCGATGCCTTGGTGTGTATGTTTAGGTTTGCAGCGCACTTATTTTCACCCCTGCACGGCGCATGTGAAATCGTCCCCGAAGTATATCCAACAGAACGTGATTGGCCTCCATCCCCCCCCACCCCTCCACCTCAGACACCCCTATGCAGTGCGTATAAAATCGTATTGAACACACATACGTATACTCGAACGTCACATCACATTCATGCATTCATGCGTACAAGTATGCAAAGAAGCAACAAAAACACACTTTGATAATGGGTTTGCAGTTAACTCCATTCCCAGGTCGAAAATGGTGAGGGAACAGAAAGGTGGCAGAGTCCGTGGAAAAGTATTGTTTAACAAATCTTGCGCAAAACGCTCAAGTGAAAGCGGCGATCAGCGGCTGCAGAGCGGAGGGAACCCTGTTTGTGGGGAGTAGCATGCAACAACCATGGAAACAAACCGGAGGAAATTGGACTCACAGCTTGCGATCACGGCAGGTACGCTGGGATGATCAGTCCCAGTATCACCAGGAAATCGAGAGTGTCTTCGTTGGTGGCAGACTCTCGTTCCTGCTGCCACCCCCTGCGTGTTGAAAACTCTTGGAAACAGAGTGTGACACACACACTCAGCGGCTTTGCGGCGCTCTGCAGTAAAAGCCTAAATAGGCACCTAAAAAGCCTTAGAAAAGAAAGAAAACAGAAAGAGCAGCGCTAAAAGGGCAGGAGAGAAAGATAGGAGTAGCGAAAGGTGAATACTTAGCCCTTGACTCGGGTAGGGAAAAGAGCCTCAAGAGCTACCTAAAAAGCATGAGAGAAAGCCCAAAAGAACAAACGACGAAAAGCGCAAGAAAGAAAGTGGGGGGCAGGGAGGGGATGTATGTAACATGTGTGTGTGTGTGTCCGTGTGTGTGTGTATGACTACCTAGCACTCTAGAGTTACTGACTACTTAACAGAAGTGAATTCGGTGCAATAGTTAGGGAGCGGGACTTTAGTCTTACACCGCCCGGGTAGAGTAGACTAGAAAGGGACAACAGAGGGAAAGGTACCGACACACAAGTGTGTCGAGTACAATTTCCCTCTGTTACCCTAATTAGAGGGAGGGGGGGGTTGGGGTGTGTGGGTAGAGAACGCGTTTGGGTTTAGTCTCCGTAAGCCCGGCGGCTTTGAATTTCCGTGAAGCCCGGCGGCTTTGGTTTTGAGAATATAGTAGTGACACGAAAATCCGTTAAGATAATCCATCGAGCGCAGAACGCGGTAAAGTCAGTTAGTGGTAGTCCGGCATGAAAACAGCGCCCCAGTGACGGGGATCACACTGTGCACCCACGTGGGACGGCACAGCGGCACACACTTTGATAATGGGTTTGCGGTTAACTCAATTCCCAGGTCGAAAGTGGTGAGGGAACAGAAAGGTGACAGAGTCCGTGGAAAAGTATTGTTTAACAAATCTTGCGCAAAACGCTCAAGTTAAAGCGGCGATCAGCGGCTGCAGAGCGGAGGGAACCCTGTTTGTGGGGAGTAGCATGCAACAACCATGGAAACAAACCGGAGGAAATTGGACTCACAGCTTGCGATCACGGCAGGTACGCTGGGATGATCAGTCCCAGTATCACCAGGAAATCGAGAGTGTCTTCGTTGGTGGCAGACTCTCGTTCCTGCTGCCACCCCCTGCGTGTTGAAAACTCTTGGAAACAGAGTGTGACACACTCTGGCATTGGTTTTCAGTTAGCCCAATTCCCAGGAAAATGGCGAGGGAACGGAAGGGTGAAAGGGTCAGCGCACTTGTAGTGTTTGAACAAACTGTTGACATGTCTGCGGTGGTGAACTTCGACGCGGCTCAACTGCAGTGCAAAAGGTAGGAGAAAAGGTTTGAGGGACGTATCATGAAGAACCATGAATCAAACCGTGGAAGAGTAGGGTAACAGCTCGCGAGAGAACGAGCAGGTACACGGAAGTGATCAGCTTCCGCTTCCTAGGATCTTGCAAAGAGCTTCGTTGGGCAGAGCCTTGCAAGTCCTCTCTGCCCCCCTGCTTGAAGTCTTTGTGAAAAGTGAGAACGGTAACCCTTCGGAACAGGGTTTGACACACACACACGGTGCCGCTTTGCGGCGCGCGTGTGAACGACCTGAAGAAACAAAAGAAAGAAACACAGAAAAAGCAGCGCAAAGAGGGCAAGAGAGAAAGATAGGTGTAGAAACCTGGAAAAATGAATACTTAGCCCTTGACTGGGGTAGGGAAACGAGCCTCAAGAGTAAAAAGCCTGAGAGAAAGCCCAACAAACGACAAAAAGCGCAAGAAGGATGTCCATGTGTGTGTGTGTGTACGTGTGTGTGTCTGAATACTTAGCACCCTAGGTTACTGACTACTTAGCGGAAACGAATTACAGTGCAATAGTTAGGGAGCGGGACTTTAGTCTTAAACCGCCCGGGTAGAGTAGACTAGAAAAAGGATAACAGAGGGAAAGGCACCGACACACAAGTGCGTCGAGTACCATTTCCCTGTGTTACCCTAATTAGGTAGGGAGTAGAACACGGTGGGGGTGGGGGGGGTTGGGAGACCTGCCTCAAGTGGGGTAAATTCCGTTTTTTAGCCCGGCGGCTGTCATTTCCGTTTTTTAGCCCGGCGGCTGTAATTCAGAGAATTCTGAAAGGGTGGAAAGGTAGCAGTGAGGAAAAGTCGGTGAAGGTAACGACGAGCCAGTGAAATGAATTCCGGAATGAAAACAGCGCCTCCTTGCGGAGGATCACACCCAGCACCCACGTGGGACGGCTGAGCGGCTCACACTCTGACATTGGTTTTCAGTTAGCTCAATTCCCAGGAAAATGGCGAGGGAACGGAAAGGTGAAAGGGTCAGCGCACTTGTAGTGTTTGAACAAACTGTTGACATGTCTGCGGTGGTGAACTTCGACGCGGCTCAACTGCAGTGCAAAAGGTAGGAGAAAAGGTTTGAGGGACGTATCATGAAGAACCATGAATCAAACCGTGGAAGAGTAGGGTAACAGCTTGCGAGAGAACGAGCAGGTACACGGAAGTGATCAGCTTCCGCTTCCTAGGATCTTGCAAAGAGCTTCGTCGGGGCAGAGCCTTGCAAGTCCTCTCTGCCCCCCTGCTTGAAGTCTTGGTGAAAAGTGAGAACGGTAACCCTTCGGAACAGGGTTTGACACACTCTGACACTGGTTTTCAGTTAACTCAATTGCCACGATGGGAAGGATGGCGATGGAACAGTATGGCGAAAGGTCCGAGAAATTGTAGGTGTTCTAACATCAGTTGTTTCCCTTGACTGCGGTGACAAAGCGGCTCAAGCTGCACCTCTGCTGGGGAGGAAATGGTTTGGGGGAAGTATCGTGGAACCACCATGTAAGCAAACAAGAGAGATTGGAAC